AGGAGAAGGAACGGGGTGGTTTTTAGTCAGTAAGAGTCTGACACTCCCTCCCGCCTCACCCAGGCGGGAGCAGTCATTCGATGATTTTCCCCCCTAAAAAAAAAAATCATATTTGAAGTCAGATTTTGAACTGGTTAACATTCTGTGCAGCAATTACATCTTCAGGTAGCTTGATCCATGTCTTCTAGTAGCTTCTTCCATATCTACTGGTAGCTTGTTCTATGTCTTCTGGTAGCTAGTTCCATGTCTTCTAGTTGCTCGTTCCATGCTTTGACTCCGTGATTACTTAGAAAGTGTCTATGAGGGTTATTATTCAATAGTTAAGCTTGTACACAGCTTAAGGTGTTATATTTTTATATTAGGAGATAGTTCGGAAGCTGAACAGTGATATAGGCTAATTACATCGAGGATGCAGATACTAAAACCTAATATTATATCTTAAATCAGATAATTTAATCAATAAATTACACAAATACTTCTTTATAGATAATTATTATCATTTTATCATCATTAATTGTTATATTTATCAAATCAAGATTTATTTACTTAGATAGCAAATATAATCAACAGTTTGTTTTTGATTTCGGCTTGTTTCAGTAGTGTTGTGTTGTGAAAGTTAATTAAAATTGCAATAAAATGCTTAAAATATAACAGTATTCATTAAACCGTTGAACTTATAACTTGTGAATGACTAGACGGATTGTTTGTGTGAATATAAACATTTTAAAAAGTGGTCCAAAAGTAGTGAACTCTTTGACTGGTCTTGTTACACATTTTTGACAAGATGTGGGGTAAAAGGCATGTATATGAATATTAATATTAGATTTTGAAAGTATAATGTTTTAGCAGTAGCAGTATTTTGATTTTTAATACCTAGATTAAAAAGTGAGATGATTTTATATTTGTTGTTATTTCACAGTAGGTATATATATGTATATTAAAAAAAAACGTGTACTGTGACTTTAATAGGCTTAAAGACAGTTCAATGAATAGGTGGTTCACTTAAAAATTAATGTCCTAGTACTGAGATGCCACTCAATATTAAGTCCACTTAAATATAGTCCTGTCTCTACAATTTTTTTTATAAATGACACAATATTAAGTACAATAGCCTTTCAGTATTAAGGCATAAGAGTGGTGGACTTCTACGAAATTACAATTTAAATAATCAACTGGAGAACATTTTCCTATAAAAACATGTGTTTCCTATACCAACGGAGTTCGCCACTCAAGCTTTTCTTTAATCAACCCGCTTGTACTGCTACCCCCTACGGTCCGGCTTTAAAGTTATTAAAACCTTGTTACATTATTTTATCAACTAACAAAATAACATTTAATTTCCAGGCCGTCTATGTCCCAGGGTACGGTGATCCACAGCCAGCGTTTCCAGGAGAAAGACTTCACGGTAGCCACCCCGGAGGAGTTTGTCAGGAGGTTCCAGGGGACTAAACCTATCAATAAAGTATGTATTGATATTTTTATTTTATTTAATATTCTTCATGCACAAAATGTACAAATAGAGGCACTTAATGCCGCAAGCATTTTCTACCAGTCTGATGATTGGGTGATGCAGAAAAGAGTAAATGGTAGGTGCAAGAGCCAAACAATGATTTTATGTATTTAACAAACGCAAGAAAATCTTGTATATTTCAGAGATACGCATAAATAAATATAATTATAATATCTTTTACTGCGACTGCCTCGTTGGCCGTGTGGTCGCAGGTGCGGCTGTCGGGCAAGGGGTCTGGGGTTCGATTCCCGGGTCGGGCAAAGTATTACTGGGTTTTTAAAAATCTCAGTAGTAGCACGGAGTCTGGAAATGTGCCCGGTATATGGCAATAGACTCACCCCCTATTACATAGGACTCATAACATAAATAGTAAAAAGTGGGTATTACATTGTACAATGGCATTAAGTGTCGTAATGTACACCTCTGCCTACCTCTTAAGGGATAAAAAGGCGTGATGTTATGTTATGTTTATAATATCTTTTATTTGTTGTCTGTCTCTGGGCCGTGCGACATGCACTTAAGAACTACAGATTTTTGTACTATACGATTTTGGCCATTGGAACAATTTTATTGTTTCTTAAAGAAGGTCTAGGCAAATAGCAAATATCTTATATAATATTATATTTAATAATTTTGTTTTGACATTCAAAAGTGCTGGTCTATTTGAAATAAATGACTTTGACTTTGCTTTAAGTGTGTAATTTGCTGTGATTTTAACTGCACTGGCCAAAAGCCATATTTTATTCTCAGCCATCATCGTCCCACTGCAAGACAAAAGCAAGTTGCTTAATAATTAAAAACTTAAAATAGAATGTTAAGTTAAGGTCTTTGGTTAGATTCCCAGGGTGGGCACTGGGCATAACTAAATAGTATTGTTGTTTGAATTATTATAAGTTTGAAATCCCCAACCCGCAATGAGCAACCATGGTGATTAATGCTCCGGCCTTCTCAAAGTCAAGTCAGCATTTATTTCAATTAAACCGTTATTTGGTACTTTTGAAACGTCAACAAATACAAAATAAATGATAGTCTGTCATTTAGTGAAGCTAGGTGAAGCTAGGTGGCTCTCCGTGTGAGAAGAGGCTTTGCTCAGCAGTAGGCATTTATAGGCTATTGATGAAGTCTAGTGTATCTGAGTTATGGCAATAGTTTCACCCACTAAACAATATGTTATGAGTCCAAAGTCAAAGTCAAATCATTTATTTTAATTAAACCATAATTTGGTACATTTGAAACGTCAACAAATACAAAATAAATAATAATCTGTCAGTCAATCCGTCAGTGAAGCTAGGTGAAGCTACGTGCTTATTCCAAAATGTAGATTCGAATGGAGAACGAGCAAGAAACTCCATTCGTTACTCTTTTTAAAGAAGTATGTTCTACAATGTCTCTGATACATATGAGTCCCATAAGTCCCATGTAATAGGGGGTGAGCGTCGAGCGTATTGCATCATTTTTAGTTATCATATTAATTACCTTTATAATCAGCTGTTTATATCAAATAAACAAATGTTATTCAGTCGGATGGGATTACAAAGATTGTGTTATTGAATCATAACATTAGATAATGGCTTATCACGTAGGTTTTATCACTGAGGGGATAAGCAGACATACATATAGATGGTTATCATTGAGATTGCATGAGGTTTTGGGTTTGATTCGCGAGACAAAGTTTAGTTGTATATTTTTTAATAACTAAAAATCGCGGGTTACTCACGTGAAAATACTGAGAAAAGCTCTACTAGTTTCGAACCACAAAGTTCTTCCTAATGAACATCGTGCGCGGCCGCGGCAATGTCGCGCAGCCTTCTGGGTAGCGTCGGCGCTTGTTTGTGTTTTTATAATAGGGATAATGACAGGGTGTAAAAATTAAAAATCTAATTAGTCCGTCAGTTAGATAATCAAAAAATATTAGACACGTATTTTTTTATTCTGTCCTATAATAAAAAAAATACTTAGATAAACGAATCAAATTTTAGGAGTGGGGGCTAAAACGTCATTTCTACGTATAAAATGTACATAGAAGTGACGTCACGCGACATTTGAAATCAATATATCGTCGAAAGTATTCATTTCTGTAAAAAAAAAAATACGTGTGCAATATTTTAAAATAATCTGCCAGACGGACATAAAAATAAAAATTAGTCATCTACCCTATTGCGTGTGGTTCGAAACTAGTAAAGCTTTTCTCAGTATATTCAAGTGAGTAACCCTCGATTTTTAGTTAATTTAATATGTCTCACGATAGTAAATATTTTACCGGGAGTTGCGAACAGCATGTATCAGCTATCTACAATACAAAATGTGTCATAATCTTTATAGATCTGAAATCAATTAAGAAATACGAAATTGAGGGTTCGTCCAAATATTTGTGTAGAAGTAATTCGTTATCATCATAGTTTAGATTTCTCAGAGTCAGTAACATAACATAACATCACGCCTTTCATCCCCGAATGGGTAGGCAGAGGTGCACATTACGGAACTTAATGCGACTGTACAATGTAACACCCACTTTTCACTACTTGTGTTATGAGTCCCATGCAATAGGTGGTGAGTCTATTGCCACATACCGGGCACATTTCCAGCCTCCGTGCTACGAATGAGATTTTTTTGTATTTTTAAATTTGTAATACTTTTACCCGACCCCCGGCTTGTTCGGCACTCGCACTTGCGACTACTCGGCCAACGAGGCAGCTGACAAATGTATTTTATTCTACCATCATCATATGATTTGTACTGCTAATAACAATTATAATTACAATATTATTTTCCATTCCAGGTCCTAATCGCGAACAACGGTATCGGAGCTGTAAAATGTATGCGTTCAGTGCGAAGATGGTCGTACGAAATGTTCAAGAACGAACGCGCCGTACGATTCGTCGTTATGGTGAGTTTTTGTTGATATCTTTTCTGTTAAGGTAATTTTAAGACGGCCTTAAAACTATAATAATGGCGATAATGATGATACTGAACAATTGTAATTAGAAGCAATTTATAAAAAATTATGAGTCCCGGTTTCGCTCGAAACTAGTTGAGCATCCTCGATTTGTATATGTATTTCTTGAATGTAATATATTTGTTGTATGTGTGTACAGGCGTAATAAATGTGTGTATTGGCTATGTGCGCGACGGTGGCGACGCGTAGCGTTTACAACATTTGCGGAAGCTGTCAAATAATAACAACGTTAACAGTATAATTTTCTTTGCAAATATAAATAAAACCAAAGATTAAAATAGTATTGTTGACATTATTTAAGTGCAATTTATTCAATAGTTTTACTGTAAAATAAATATAATTATAAAAACAGGGTTTGCATCATCCGCATTTGTTTCCAATTTCTGCCGTGTTGTGCGCTGCGGTCGTTATCTGTCTGCCACTACTTTGCTTTGCACATACCCAATATGGGAATAAATAGCAGTTATGCGCATGATAATGAGCCCATGGTGTACAGGGTTCGCATCCCGCATGGAGCAACTCTTTGGGTACTTTCCTTAAATAAATTATTTCGACTGTTCAACACAATGAAATATTAAAAAATATTCACACTTTCATTAATCGATTTTATGACCAACTTATTTTTTTTTCAGCATATTTTTAAGAAATAAGTACTTATGCTGTTTGACGCTAAAAAATCGTGACGTCACAATACACAATCTCGTACAAAATTTATAGAAAACTGTCGATTTTGACAGTTCGAAAAGGGTATTGAATTTGACTAGTTGACCCAAGTACCCAATTGTTATTTCGGGAGAAAATCCTAGTGTAGGGTAGTGTTTAAAAATAATAATTTCTGTCTACCTCACTAACTCCTGACCTTCCACAGGTGACCCCCGAGGATCTGAAGGCCAATGCGGAGTATATAAAGATGGCGGACCACTACGTGCCCGTGCCTGGAGGATCCAACAACAATAATTATGCTAACGTCGAACTTATAGTGGATATCGCAATAAGGACTCAAGTTCAGGTTAGTAAAATACATTTTGTAGTACAAAAAAAAATCTTTATACTATATTTGCCAACAACTTAATGCTGCGTTAGTATTGTTTAAACTGTCAAACACCAAGCGGTCACCGGTGACCGCAACCTATTGTTCTATAATTGTGTCTACAAAACCGGTACTCGACGAGTTAATATTCCAAAAGGGCTCCAAAGCCGTATTATCCCTAAGGGAAACTAGACAAGTGCCTAGAGCCCCAGAGGCCTTTAGCCAAATGCCACTTTAGCGCTTGTCTACAGAGAGAGTAGAAATCAAAATGTATGGGGATGACACTGACAAGTGTCAAAAATTTATGTCAGTAGAGTAGTTTCCTAAATTTAATGCCCGTCTAGTAGATTAATTTAAAACTTTAGACACGTATTTTTTCTTTTCTCACAAAATTAAATACTTTCGACGATATATTGATTTGAAATATCGTGTGACGTCACAGCGTGCCACAATTTGTAACACGTTATGACGTAACGACCTCCCACTCCTAAACTTAGCGCCATTTTATCTAAGTATTGCAAATTAATACGAGAAAATAAAAAAATACGTGTCTAATATTTTTTCATTATCTAACTGACGGACTAATTAGATTTTTAATTTTGATACCCTGGAAACTACCCAATTCCATATAATTTGGTTTTCTATTCTACATGTAGACAAGCGCTAAATGCGCGAGATGCGCGTGTCTATCTGCTCATAATGTCTATAAAATATGTCCGAGGTCCGAGTGGTAGTAAATTTGTCTTTAATTTTTTTTTTTAATATTCCAATAAAAATACGGCATTTGCTTAAATGAAACCCATAGTGGGCAAAGCAAGCAAGCCAAGAATATTACAAAAATCTTGTTTTTTATTTATTTTTTAGCACTTTATGTACAATCGTTACATGAGCGGTCTTTATTTAATAATAAATTATTATTTTTATGATATTCTTTGACCTTTTTGTATTCTAATATATTGAGCCCATTTTGCCCCTTCCAGGCTGTATGGGCAGGTTGGGGTCATGCCTCAGAGAACCCCAAGCTCCCCGAACTGCTCCACCGCGCTGGGGTGGTATTCATTGGGCCCCCGGAGAAGGCCATGTGGGCTCTCGGAGACAAGATCGCGTCCTCCATAGTAGCGCAGACTGCTGAAATACCTACTCTACCCTGGAGTGGTAGCGGTAAGTTAATTTTCTGATTATTTTGGTCGAGAATTTTTCTATAGAATATAAGTTCAGGTTCAAGTGTTATTTTTCGAAAATATATAACACAACGATGATTAGAAAATATGTCTAGACAAACTAACGGGTTTTTTAAAGGGTGAAAATCATCGAATGTTTTCTCCCGCCTGGGTGAGGCGGGAGGGAGTGTCAGACTCTTACTGAATAAAACCCACCCCGTTCCTACTCCTGCACTTCGATCCGGAGCCCCGGTACGCTCGGGTCTGGTTCTGGTCAGGTGGCTGGTCACTCGTGCTCGCCGTCCGCAGGACTAAGCTAACGGGTTGACGTGGCTCCGGCTGTATGCAGGAGAAGGAACGGGGTCGTGTACTTGTAACGCCTATAGTGGTCCAGGTGTTCATGAGCGGCAATTGCTTACCATCAGGTGATCTGTTCGCTCGTTTACCGGCTTAACCCATAAAGAAAAATATTATTTTGTTTAACAGAGCTAAAGGCTGAATACAACAGTAAAAAGATCAAGATATCTTCTGAACTCTTCGCCAGAGGATGTGTGACTACTCCGGAAGAAGGATTGCAAGCTGCACAGAAGATAGGTAAGTTCTTTTTTAATAATTATGTACAAAATTGTAATAAATAAAGTAAAGAAAACAAAGCAAGTAAAGATAAACTGTTCAAGGATCAACGGTAAAGGAAAACATGGGGAGGAAATCTAAGCTTATAATTTCTAATTATAAGTTTGAAATCGCCAACCCGCATTGAGCAGGCGTGGTGATTAATGCTCCAACCTTCTCCGTGTGAGACGAGGCCTTTGGTCAGCAGTGGCCACTTATAGAATCTGATGATGCGATACGGGGATGTTCAACTAATTTCAAGCCACATAATCATGAAATGTATGCGCGACGAACGACGTCTCGCAATTGATGGTTGACAGTCCCGTTTTAATTTAGTATATTTTACAAATATAGTTGTTTATTACATCAAAATCAAAAGTGTAATTAATTTCAATTCAATCAATGTTAAGCACTTTTGAATGTCAAATGAAATGAAAAAGTGTCAGTCTGTCGTTCAATCCTATAGTTGCTCTATTTGCTCATTGCAAACTGTAGATTCCTATGGAGAAGAACGAGGAAGAAACTCCATGTTTTTTCTTAATATTGTATTTTGTGACGGTGTGCAAATAAACTATTTATCCTTCTTTCTTTCCGTGGTCCATATATTTTCAAGAAATATAATGTCTCTTCCAGGGTTCCCCGTGATGATCAAGGCCTCGGAAGGTGGTGGTGGCAAGGGTATCAGGAAGGTGGAGAATCCTGATGACTTCAACAGCGCATTTAGACAGGTATTGTATCTAATTTCCTATTAAATTGCAAAATATAGATTTAGTGCCCATCAGTTGTCGCTAGTGTTAATTGATTCCGAAATACAAACTTCTTATATAGTTTTTAAATTGAAAAATCCTAATGTGGAGCAACGTTTAAACTTCTAATTTTAAACATTCTGCGTGTGAGAAGAGGCTTTGCTCAGCAGTGGGCATTTATAGGCTGTGATAATATTATCATCCCTACTATTATGATTACAGGTACAAGCAGAAGTGCCCGGTTCCCCAATATTCGTGATGAAGCTCGCCAAGTCAGCTCGCCATTTGGAAGTACAACTTTTGGCTGATCAGTACGGTGAGTTTTTTTTTTCTATGGAATAGAAGGCAAACGAGCAGACGGATCACCTGATGGTAAGCGATCAGCGTCGCCCATGGATACCCGCAACACCAGAGGAGTCACAGGTGCGTTGCGGCTTTTTAAAAAGGAATACGCTCTTTTCCTGAAGGTTTGAAGGTCGTATCGGTTCGGGTATACCGGCGAGTTTTGTAACTTCAGCGAGATTTCACCCACTACTCGGCTCCTATTGGTCGTAGCCTTCCTCGATAAATGGAGTATACAACACTAAAAGAATTGTTAAAATCGGAGCTGGCAGCACTTCCAAAGATTAGCGCATTTTAACAAACAAACTCTTCAGCTTTATATATTAACTAGCTACTTCCGCGCGGTTTCACACGCTCTGCTCACCTCCTTTTGGTAGTAGCGTGATGTTTTATATCAAAAGGACTATATTGCCTTATCCTGTTTAAAATTAATGTTAAAAGTATTTTATAGTATATAAATAATCCAATTATATGTCATTCGGTTCACAGGCAACGCAATCTCGCTGTTCGGTCGTGATTGTTCTATCCAGCGTCGTCATCAGAAGATCATTGAGGAAGCTCCCGCCGCCATCGCCAAACCTGACGTCTTTATTGAGATGGAGAAGGTATTGTATTATCTATATCTATATTCTATATATATATATAAAAGAAAGTCGTGTTAGTTACACTATTTATAACTATAGAACGGCTAAATCGATTTGGATGAAAATTGGTGGGGAGGTAGCTTAGAACCAGGAGACGGACATAGGATACTTTTAATATTTTTTTTTTACTTTTTATGGAACTGGAAAAAACGAGATTGCGCGTACGAAGTCGCGGGCAGAAGCTAGTTAAGAATATTGTCAAGTATGAGCTCGCTATGCTTCGGCACTGCTATGCCACTCTCAACTGGAGTGATACCACCAACGAGCAGAAAACTGAGTGCCAAGCACGAATAACTATAGAATTCGTAACGTAAGAGTATGGAGCGCGATCTCCGCTAGAGCCGGCCCATCAGCGGCGACGTAACGTGACCTGAAGCCTTAGTACCATTTAGTTTATTAAATACCCACGCAATACGGATGCAATGGGCGCTAGTGTTGCAACTCAAGAGTACGAAATTTCACAATACCAATGTCGATCGATCGGGATTGGATTCAATAGTAAGCGCTCAGAGGCATTAGGACGAGTTTGTTTTACGTTTAAAGTATTCGAAACGAGTACGCGTTCAGCGCTGTGATTGCCCGGCGCCAATGAAGCAACCAATCAGAGCGCCGAACGCGTACTCGTTACGATTACTTTAAGTGTAAAACAAACTCGTACTAAGGCCTCTGAAGTGAAGCGAAACAACGCTTGCGTTGTGTTTCGTCGTGTCAGTGAGGTTACCGGAGGCCCAATTACCTTCCCCTTCCCCTTCCCCAATCTCCCCAATCCCTGAATCCCTAACAATCCTCAAATTCCCAATCCCCAAAAGGCCGGTAACGCACTTGTAACGCCTCTGGTATTCCGGTGTCCATGGACGACGCTGATTGCTTACCATCAAGTGATCCGTCGGCTTGTTTACCGACTACGACCGCTCTTTTTAAGGGATACTTAAAATATAACGGTCTTATGTTTAAGGTCATAAGGCTTAGAATCTGTTAACATTGTATTAAGGTCATATTTAGAATTAGTATCATCGTTAGCTCAATCTAATGATTTCTTTATTGAGATGGAGAAGCATACCTTCTCCATACCTTGACATTGGACTTTAACTGTATCGATGTAGGGTTGAATATCACTTGTATATTAAATTTCTGTATGGTCTATTTTATTTATTTGTGAAGTTTTAATAGACTTGATTTTAACGCAACCCTTTATTTTCCAGGCCGCGGTCCGTCTAGCCAAGATGGTAGGCTATGTATCAGCTGGTACAGTAGAATATCTATATGAACCGGCTACAGGCGCTTACTACTTCCTGGAACTGAACCCGCGACTCCAAGTGGAACATCCTTGCACGGAGATGGTGGCTGACGTCAATTTACCCGCTGCCCAACTTCAGGTATTTATAAAAGATCGAAAAGACCAAGTAGACTGCGGTAGTCTTTTGAATAGACAAAATATATCTTTAAAGTTTAAGTTATTACGATATATTTTAACTTCAGATACGTTAAAAAGCTAAAAAGATTAAGTAGACTATGGTAGTCTTATGGTCTTTGCATTCGATTTGAGTGGGAAAGGCTTGACTGATAATATCTTTGGTAGTAGATGAAAATTAGTACTTAAATGTATAAATTATAGCTTTAGGCTAAAAATACCAAGTAGACCGAGGTGGTATTTTAGTCTATGCAGTAGATTCAGTAGATTTTGATAGGAATTTAATTATTTGACTAATGATATTTGGATGAAGGAGGTTATTCGTACATAGAAGAATATATTTGAGTATCAAACATTTTGAAAAGATAAAGTAGACCAAGTTGTCTTTTCAGTAGACTCAGGTTGATGATTAGAAAAATCCAGTAGACTGATATATCTTTGGAAATTATTTTCTGTATCCAATTTGAAAGCCTGAAAAAGTAGTATATTTTTTTTTTCATTCTTAACGCGGTCATTAATTCTAGGTTTTTAAGAACGAACTTAACATTCCAATACTTAACAGTGGCAGGGTAAGCGGAAACTATTAAATTTTTTTCATTCCAGATCGCCATGGGTCTCCCTCTATACCATATAAAGGACATCCGCCTCCTATACGGCGAGTCCCCATGGGGTCTGTCGCAGATAGAGTTCGACGAGCCCAAGCAGAGACCTTCACCATGGGGTCATGTCATCGCCGCTAGGATCACGTCCGAAAACCCTGACGAAGGTAATATTTCCTTCTCTTTTGTTCAAAATTATAACACCCAAGCCTAGTAAAGTATATTTAATTTTTCACCACCGCTTCTCTTTATTCGGGTGTACAATACCCGTACTGACTTTGTCAGGGTCAATAAAATTCGTTTGATTTCCATGACTATCGATTTGAAAGCGTGCCCTAAGATTAGATGTACCTATCTTATAAACTCGTGTCTATTTTCCACCCAAACAGGATTCAAGCCCTCATCAGGTACGGTCCAGGAGTTAAACTTCAGGTCCTCGAAGAATGTATGGGGATACTTCAGCGTGGCCGCTTCAGGAGGTCTGCACGAGTTCGCAGACTCACAGTTTGGACACTGCTTCTCTTGGGGCGAGACTAGGGAGCAGGCTAGAGAGTGAGTTATATTCTTATATTGAATTATTCTATACTTCTGGCCATGCCCTCACAGAAAACCGACGAGAAACAATACTTGCGTTGTGTTTCGTCTTGTGAGTGAGGTTACCGGAGGCCCAGTCACCGCCTCCCCAATCTTCCCAATCCCCGAATCCCCAACTATCTTTAAATTCATAATTCTTCGGTGTTTCGGGTGTCCATGGGCGGCGGCGATTGCTTCCCATTAGGGAATCCGTCGTCAGCAGCTTATTCCATATAAGAAAAAAAATAGAGACATAGGACCCTAAAAAATTAAATTAAAAATTAATTTATTAATGAATAATTAAAAATCCCTTTCACAGGAACCTAGTAATAGCTCTAAAAGAGTTAAGCATTCGTGGTGACTTCCGTACAACGGTGGAATACCTGATCACACTGCTGGAGACTGGCGCCTTCCAGAACAATGACATCGATACTGCCTGGTTGGACGCACTCATTGCTGAAAGGGTAAGTAGACTAATAGACCAGTAGACTAAAAGACCGAGTACACCATAATACTAAAAGACTGAGTAGACCAATAGACTAACTATTTATTAGGTGTCACTTGATAGGTTGGTGAAAACCAAAATCTCGTTAAGTCCTTAAACTGTCAAACACCAAGCGGTCACCGGTGACCGCAACCTATTGTTCTATAATTGTGTCTATAATGACGGTACTCGACGAGTTAAAATTTATTAATAAGGTTTACGGAAAACTGACGTGTGTAGACCAAAAGACCAAGTAGACGAAATAAACTGAGTAGACCTAGGGCATGACTTATACGTGGGGGTAAGTTGATAACTACATTTATGGGTAGTAATAAAAGCTCCGACAAGAAAAGAAGAATTGTCCTTACTGAAAATATTAACTTTCCGACTACTTTACATGACTGTTTATTGCTATAATACTAACCTAACTAAAACGTCTGTTGCGGTAACTTAGTAATTTTGTCGGAGGTTCAATATTCTATCCGGAAGTTTAGTTTTGTTATTCGAAGATCCATTTTTATAGTCGGCCACAGATCGTTGGAGATTAATTTGTTTTTCGGAACCATTATTATTTTCCTACATCTATATGTGCCTAAAAATAATTTTGCTATTTTTTTTAATCTCAGAAAAAATACTTAAATATTTATACTTGTATGACTTACAAACATGTTATTTTACTCTAAATTCCTCCTAACCCTGGATTCTCTCCATCATCAGATGCAATCAGAGAAGCCTGATATAATGCTGGGCGTCATCTGCGGTTCTATCCTCATAGCAGACGCTTACATCACTGCCAACTTCCAGGAGTTCAAGAGTGCGTTAGAGAAGTAAGTACATGGTTTAAATCCCGTGTCGCGTATAGATCTTTATATGTTCTAGTTACAGTTCATCGTTTTTGGAAGATTTTGCTTAGTGATGAGTTCGATTCCTGGTTTAAACGTTTATGTAATGTGTGTTAAATCTAGATGCCTTCATTCATTGAGTAGGTTAAAATCAGTTTTGGACAAGACTGGATATTTTTAGTTTTTTTTTTTTACAAGCCTAATGTATGTTCAAGTAACCCTCTTCTCAAATAAAGGCGTGTTTTTTTATGTCTCGAGACAAAATAAACAATGTCAAAATATAAATAACGCACCATTCGTTATTTATATTTTGTTTATTGTTTCATCCCTTCTTTGCATAAATAAATAAAAATGAAAGAGCCTTATATTTCCCAAATAAAAAAAATTAGATTTCCAAAAAAAACTTATATTTTATATTAAGATTTGTTTTAGGTAACCATAGGAATCTTTCTCGATCTTTTGCTGTATTTGCTTGGCATAAGAAATACGAACTTTCATTTATTTATTTCGCTAAGGGTAAATTTTTCAATCATCAGTTAATTGTTAACTGTAGAATAAAATTGACATTTGACAGTTTTTAGTATGGAAGAATTGTCAAATATTCAATGTTATTCTTCAGTTACAATTTATCTGGCGTTGGAAAATCAGACCTTTGCCAAAACTAAACTAACCACAAAATTCCACCACCAGGGGTCAAATCCAGGGTTCCAGTGCCCTCTCTAATTGCGTGGAGGTGGAACTCATCCACTCTGGCTCCAAATATAAGGTGTCTGCCACCAAGTCTGGTCCGACTTCTTACTTCCTTGCGATGAACGGCAGCTTCAAGGAGATGGAAGTCCATAAACTTACTGATGGAGGTGAGTAGACCGGAGTAGACCGAAAAGACCATGTTGATTTTTATGCTTAAACATGCTATTTAGTTGGTAAGAGTAGACTAGTAGGCCTGAAAAGACCGCGAAGGCCATATTTATTTTTATGTTGTTTTTATTAGGAAAAGTGTTTTATGAGGATAATAAATGTGGTCTTTTGGTCTACTTTCACGAAAATATATTGTTCTATTATCCCATATATTGCGATTTTGTTATAATTTTTACTCGCGCTTAGCCGTAATCGGACAGCATTGCCTTTTTTAGATAAAATTTTAGACTATAAAATATAGCAGTGTTAAATAACGATTTTTTTCTAGGTATGCTTCTCTCAATCGACGGTGCCTCCTTCACGACCTACCTTCGTGATGAAGTGGACAAATACAGGATCGTGATCGGCAATCAGACCGTGGTCTTTGACAAGGAGAAGGACCCGTCCAAGCTGAGGGCGCCATCTGCCGGCAAACTGATCAATACGCTGGTGGAAGATGGAGGGCATGTCGATAAGGGACAACCTTATGCTGAAATTGAGGTTTGTTCAACAATATTTTTTTACTTGCTAGCTTATGTCTGTAGCGTAAGTAGTCTGTGTTATTCCAGACAATAATCTACTCCTCATTGGCCGAGTGGTCGCAAGTGCGACTGCCGGGCAAGGAGTCTCGGGTTCGATTCCTGTCCCGTTCGATTTTTTTTTATGGCATACATAAGCCAGTAAACGCCCATGGACACCTGGAACACCAGACGCGTTACAAGTGCGTCACCGGCTATTTGGGGATTAGGCGTTGGAGGATCGTTGGGGATTCAGGGATTGAGAATATAATTTTATACTACTTGGCCGACTTTGACTTCCTCGTTGGCGCCGAATGGTCCGCAAGTGCGACTGCCGGGCAAGGTCTTGGGTTCGATTCCCAGATTGGGCAAAGTGTTACTGGGTTGTTAAAAAAATCTCGTAGTTATAACATAATATAACATGACGCTTTTGTCTCCAAAGAGGTAGGCAGAGGTGCACATTATGATACTTAATGCCACTGTACAATGTAACACCTACTTTTCACTATTTATGTTATGAGTCCCATGTAATAGGGGGTGAGCCTATTGCCATATACCGGGCACATTTCCAGACTCCGTGAATTTTTTGAAAAACCCAGCAATACTTTCCTTCCCCTTCCCCAATCTCCCCAATCCCTGAATCCCTAACGATCCTCAAACTCCTAATCCCCAAAAAGCCGGTAACGCACTTGTAACGCCTCTGGTGTTCCAGGTGTCCATGGGCGACGCCGATTGCTTACCATCAGGTGATCCGTCTGCTAGTTTACCGGCTTATGTCATAAAAAAACAAATCCAAACACAGAAACTTTCACATTTTTTATGATAATGTTATTAAGACATAGTAAAAACACTATTTTGATATTGTCATCAGGTAATGAAAATGGTGATGACCCTGGCTGCTCCGGAGTCAGGTAAAGTCACCTGGATCTTACGGCCAGGAGCTGTTCTGGATATGGGAGCTATGATTGGAACACTGGGTAAGTTATATTATTTATTTATTACTTACCGTATAATCGTTAGTTATATTTATAATTGGGTAGGGAGGCCTTTGCCCTGCAGTGGGACGATCATGGCTGAAAATAAATAAATAATACCGTAAAATCGCGTGGATAGGGATCGAGAGGTGAATAGAGACAGAAGAGGGGTGAATAGATAGTGGGAAATTTTTCATAGTATCAATTGGGATGATGACAGGGTATGAAAAGTAAAAATCTAATTAGTCCTTAAGTTAGGTAATGAAAAAATATTAGATACGTATTTTTTTATTTTGTCATATAATAAAACAATACTTGGATAAAATGAATCAGTTTAGGAGTGGGGGTAAAACGTCATTTCTACGTATAAAATGTACATAGAAGTGACGTCACGCCACATTTGAAATCAATATATCGTCGAAAATGTTCGTTTCTGTAAGAAAATAAAAAATACGCGTCTAATGTTTTTAAATAATGTACCAGACGGACATTGAAATAAAAATTAGGCATCTACCATATTGTATCATTACGTGGAACTCATAGCTAGCAAAAAGTGATAATTGCATTAATTCTTCTTTGTCTATGTAGAATTTATTTATTTATTTATTATTAAGGAAAAACAAACAGTAACATATTACAAAATATATGTCGGCGCCGCCGTCATTATTTTGTAAACTGCGAATGTAATGGGCGAGCAGTGAACAAACAACTGACCGACGTCACTTCAACCCCACCACCGAGTGATATATAAAGCAGCGCAAGCGCAAGCTCGGGTCAGTCGTTCGTCGATCGTTGCCCAGTTCACACGTTACGCAATCGCTGAGTAATTTTATTGTTGGTTTTATTTGAGTGTTTCCTTTATATAATCAGTGCTGAATTATTCAATTATTATAATTAAAAATTAATGTGAAAGTAAGTTCATTTAATCGAAATAAACTAAGTGATTGTGTGAAGCTCTTTGTTTTATTTTCAAATAATGTCGGACCCTGATCCTACA